TCTTTCTTCATGTCAATCCCAGTTCCCTCACCATCCCACCCTCCCCTATCACTCCCACCAAACACCAGCCCATCCCCTTTCTGCTCCCCAGGAAGGGTTACACCTTCCATGGGGAGTCTTCAAAGTCTGTCATATCATTTGGGGCAGGGCCTAGGCCCTCCCCCATGTGTCTAGGCAGAGAGAGAGAGTATCCTTTATGTGGAATGGGCTCCCAAAGTCCGTTCATATATTAGGGATAAATACTTATCCATTACCAGAGGCCCCATAGACTGCCCAGTCCTCCTAACTAACACTCACATTCAGGGGGTCTGGGTAGGTCCTTGCTGGTTTCCCAGCTATCAGACTGGGATGCATGAGCTCCCCCTTGTTCAGTTCAGCTGATTCTGTGGGTTTCTCCAGCCTGCTCGGGGCTCTTTCTAAGCCCCACATGGCAGCCTGGAATCTGTACTCTTGGGCACTCAGAGAATATGAATGAACACACCCTGGTGGACCTCTGCAGTGGAAGAGATATCTTTCTGAGCTTCCAGCAGCCCTCTAGGGGCCTGTTTGTAGCAGGAAAGGATCATCAATATTGGGTTAGGTGGGTGCAGGCTGGATGCCTGTGGGTCTGGGTGGGTGCAGGCTGGGATCTGTGGGGTTAGATGAGTGGATGTTCCTTAGGCCAGGTGCCCTTGGAATCCAGAAGTAAGAGTCTGCTCCACTAGCAGGAGCTAGTACTTATATTTGGGGGGCTTCTGGGAGACTCCAATTTATGTGTCAGAGATGTCCCTTGGGAAAGCACCATGACAAACATCTGGGAGGTGCTAGACATCAAGAGTCAGGGATGAGATTGGGAGTACAGACTGTCTCTATATTCTGTTAGGGTGCTGAAGAAGATGGAGGGGACTCTAGCAAGTCCTGAGCTCTGAGCACTGGCTGGCTGTGGTATTGCCACCTGTGCCAGCCAGTTGTCCTGGACACCCCTGGGGCCAGGTTTCTGCTCAGTGGCTGGCAAGACAAGCCACTTTATCACACAATCCAGCTGGCTCAGAGGTGGCTCCCCAGCGCTGCTAAATCGGGGCCACAAGCTCCTGCCTCAGGAAGAGGGAAATGCAGGCAGGATGTCCTCTCTTGTGGCCGACAAGTCCTTTCCCATGAACCCCTGCTGACCTTGCCGGCCACGTGGCAGGGGGCTCCCCGACTTGCCACCAGAACCTGTGCCTGCCCAGGCAGGCCTGGCCATCAGGGACAGGGTGGCAGCTGGGAAGCAAGGGCAGGGGGTGTGTGTGACTGCTACTGGCACCACCCAGAGGGGCAGGGTAGGAGCCTTGAGCCTCGGAGTTGTCTCTGGTAGAGTACCTGCACCTTCCTGCTCCCAGACATGTCCCCTCAGTGTGACCGGAAAACTGAGATCCCAGAGGAAGCCAGTGTCTGAAAAGGACCAAAACTCAGCAATCCCTGGCTCTGGCTGGGACATGCTGGCTGCTTCTCTATCAGAGATGTCCCGACGGAGGGCAAGAGGGTCTTTGAACATATCTCCCCACCCGCCTTTCTCTCCCAGAAGCTTCCCAGAAGCTGTGGGGGTGCAAGTCAGGCTGTAGTAGAGAGACATCTGACCGCTAGAGGAAAACACAGGACAATTAACTAGACACAGTTTTCTTCCTTCCCTCCTTGGTGTTGCACTCAGGCTCTCCCAACTTTCCTTCCTTATCTGACCTGGCTGCATGAACTGGCATCTTCCAGAAAGTCAGAAAGTCAACTGGGAAAGAAGAGAACCATGTTTCTCCATGCCTTTCCCTCCTGCTGGGGTTCCCCTCAGATGGATGACCTTACCCTTCACCTGTTTGCTTAAGCCAGCCTGAGTCCTGGAGCACAACCTCCCGCCTCCCACTTACTAATGTCCCGTTCACTTGTAGGTCCCTGCCTCACCTGGACAGTCATCGGTTGTTGATGGCTCCTGTCATCTCATCTGCCACTCTCTATCCAGACATCCCAAGCTCTGGCTAGCCTCAGCTCAGCTGACCATTCACTTGTCTTCATCTCAGAGCCTTATTCGAGGGGCTCCTCACTCTGCTTAGAATTCCCTTTCCTGGCATTAAATCTCTCCTAGAAGCCCCTAGATAAGTGCTTCTCAGCATGTGGGTCTCGACCCTTTAGGTCCAATGACTCTGTCACAGGGGTCACCTAAGATCATCAGCATATCAGATATTTACATCAGGATTCATACCAGTAGCAAAATTATCGTTATGAAGTAGCCTCAAAAATAACTTTATGGTTGGGGTCACCACAACACAAGGAACTGTATTAAGGGGTCAAAGCATCAGGAAGGCTGGGAACCACTGCCCTAGATGGAAATGACATTGCCTACCTGTACAGCCCACAGGCAGCAGCTGGGTCTCTCTGAGCACTTTCACCCCCGCACTAGGATACTCAGTGCCACACCAGAGTTCCTACCAGTCTGGCGCTTGGGAAACCCCTGCAGGATGGGGCCATGCCCCTGTCCATTCTGCCATGCTGAGCAGGTGATGCATGGCTATGGCTGCACAGAGCTATAGTCTTCTTCCCTGAGACACAGGGGAGTTTGCAAGACTGTCTACCATGCCACCACAGGCCGGGCTCTGATGAGGGATCAGGGCCTTTTCTGCTACACTGGTTCGGAGAGACACTCACATTTCAGCTCCCAGAGCTCTGAGCTAGGCCCAAAAGGCCATGTGCACTTGCAGACCTCACTGTTCTGGACCTGGGTCATACATAAGAGCAGAGAGATAGGTGGCCATGTTTGATATGGCCACAGCAAGGCCAGCACAGCCTCCCAATATTCTCCTAGTCCTCAGCTAGCTTCCCTCTAGGCTAAAGTCCTGGGATAATGTTTTTTTTTAAAGCTGCCAGCTGCCCTTTCTGCAGGAACACTGCTGGGGTCAGCCTTAAGGGACTGGATCAAGACACCAAGCATCCAAGTCTAGCTCAAGTCCAAGAAGCCCCTCCATGTCTACTTGTGTGCCCACAATGCATGCAGAAATATTGGTGCTGAGTGGAGGCAGTAGAGCTCAGGCCACAGTTTGAGGACTTCAGGGCACAGATAAGAGAAAAATGTGAGTCTACTGCCTTTGAGGGCTTCATTTTAGGGTTCCCAGGCTTTACACAGGTCTCCTACTCTGGCTTGCCTACTCTTAGAGGATTTTCTTTCTATACTCTGCCCTCTGCACATGTTCTCGAAGTAGCATCCCCCACCGGACTGGGAGCTCCTGGGTCCTCTCTGACCCAGCAGTGGGTAGAGCTAGGCACAGGGCTCAGGGAGGCTTGGTCTCTGTTTCCATTGGCAGCCGCCTCCTACACTGCCATCCATCCTAGAATATTCTATGGAGCCATCTCCTCTTCTTCCCTTCACAGCCCACATGGACAGAGTCATGGGTACTTCTTCAGTGAATAGCATCACCCCCTTCCTACTGGCCTCTACTGGTCTTCACATCTTTACAAAGTATCTGTCTGCCAAGACACCCCCTTCCTTTCAGGCCTCTTGCCTCAGGATTCCAGCAGTGGGGAGGGGAAGAATTTGCACAGCTTACATTCCAGCTAACCTAACCTCCTAGAACGTCAGATACCTCTTTTGCCTGAACATAGAGGGGTGGCGGGGGGGGGGAGGGTGTTTGTCTCGTGGGCACAGGGAAGTCTCATTCCTCACCCTTCTGGCGCAACCAGAGCCCCATTTGTTTCTCCCACACACTCAGTCGCTTTGCAAGCAAGTTGAGAACATACATGAAAAGCCTGGTCCAGGGTTGGGGCTGTGGAGCAAGAAGTAGCCAAAGAGCCAGTTATCCTTCACTGTCTATACACAGGTTCACTCACATCTCCCTTGACTTCCCTATCTGGCAGCACAGAGTGGGAGCTGAGACCAAGGCTCTGATAGTCAACCAACATTGATTAGTTCCTGATCTGCCCATGCCTGAGGACCTTGTGAGGTTATACGTTTTCCCCATATATAAAAGAGGTCTCACATTCTGTGGGAATAAGAGATGAAACATGCGAAGTCAATTTCTGTAGAATACAGAAACGTCTCTCTTTTTCCGAGGCCTCTAAGCACTCCTCCATCAAGCATCAGGGGCTCTGTGATGACCCTGCCACCCTGGATTTCCTGGGACAGCGGATCCTGAGCGGAAGCCCCCTCATCCCATGCCTTATCCCCATTGTTTCCTTCCTGGCCCTCCTCGCAGCCACTCGGCTACTTTTCACCACCGCAGAGCCAAGCTCTCAACACAAACTTGAACCTGCCCAAGACTCCTCCTTTGCAGCCTCTGCTTTTTATGGTTCAAGTCTTCTGTCCCTTCTAACCCGGAGGTCCCCTCAAACCCCAAGAGCCCAGACCTTTCACCTTGACACGGGCTGGTCTGGAATTATGGACTCAAGATTCGCCTTAGGTTTCATCTTGCACACAGGATTACCTGGGATGGCGCTAATGTTGGGTGCCTGGAGTGGGGTGCGGGGTGGGGTGTCCAGAGTCCTCAATCCCAGCCCAAGAGAAGTAGACACCCGTCCAGAGCGCCCTCTGGGGGATCTCGGGGTACCAACCTCCAGTGCAGACGCAAGGCGTCGGGAAGTGCGCACCCAGTGCGGGGTCGGGCGGGGATCAATGGGGAAATGATTCACGCCGGAGGATCGGGACCCAGAGGTGGTGCGCCCTGGACCCCATGGGGAGCGAGGAAGAACCCGAAGGAGTCAGGCTAAAGATGCGGTTCTCTCAGGACCGTAGACCGAAGACTGGGACCTAGTCTTAGTCCCGCCACCCAGTCCGTGACCCGGCTGCAGTCCCCGCCCGTTGTTTCCTGCTCCCCGCGGTCTGGGCTTTCAGCTCCCGGCTCACCCCTGGCTCCCCAGGCTCCAGAGAGCGTCCGCAAACCCAGGCTGCCAAGCTGTCCGTCCCTCCTCCCGCCCCGTCGGTGCGGTCTCACCACTGGCCCCAGGCGCGCGGCGGCCGCCCGGCTGTTAAGCGGTGCCGGGGTTAGGGTTGTGGTCCGGGTGCTCACCGTGGAGGAGTCCGAGGCAGAGCCACAGGCGCAGGCTCAAAGGGGCGCCCGGCTGCATCTCCGGCCCCTGGGCGCGGGTGGGACCTGCGTGGCCGCAGCTCTGGGCTGGGAGTGAGTGAGAGCGCGCAGAGGCGCCGGCGGGGCGCGGACCGGGCAGCGGCCCGGGGGCGGGGCTGAGGCGGCTCGGGGCGGGGCTGGGGGGAGGAGGGTCACCGTAGCCTCAGCCCGCCCCTAGCCCCTCCGTCCCTTGCCGGCCGCCCCGGCAGAATCCAGCCCCGGTAAGGAGACCCAGCGCCCACTTAGCGCAGCCTATGCAAAAGGCTCCCAGTTCCAAAGCAGTCGCCACCAAGTAGCCCCTCCAGGGCCACTGCCAGCGGGCGATGCGCGCAGGTGACTTGCACTGTCCTTTGTGCGCGTTGTGGCTCCGGGGACTAAACAAAACCGGGCAGTGGTGTTTCCTTGCATTTTCCTTCTATCAATGAACAAAGTGGCAACGAATATAAGGTTAAAGTAGCTTTACGTTTAAGTCTTAGCGAGCACCCTGCCAAAGCCTCTCACTCTCTCTAGTGTAAATGGAGCCAGGCACCTGAGTAACTGCCTCCCCACGCCCTCCGACCCTGGAGAACTGGCTTTTGCTTTAACTTCCCCACCAAATACTTTTGCTCTGAGCTCATTCATAAGTCTTTTTTATCAGGTGACACTTCACTTTCTGTTTTGGCAAACACTCTCGCACAGACTTCCTTTCTCTTTGTGGTCTTTTGCTAGAGTTTTCCTATATTTCAAAATAAATTCGAATGACAATGACGATTTCAACTTCTCCTGCTTTTATTTAATCTGTTCACACTGTTCCCACGCTCTCCACCTCCCAGCCCCGGTCATCCTTGCCAAAAATCAAGGCCAGTCTGATGATGATGACCACTTTAAAGTCTCCCACGCGCAAGCACAAGAAAACTGAATAGGAATGAAAATGCTGTGTATGTATGTCTTCAACGTAGGCAGCCACGTTCATTTTATTTAGCTTGTACTGGAATTCCATTATGATATTTATTGGTTTTTCCCTAACTGCCACTGAGGCTGAACACTTTTTTTTTTTTTTTTTAATAACTGGTCTTTTGGATTTCAAATCTTTTGCTCTAGTGTCTGTCGTTTTTCTATCAATCTGTAAGAAGGTTTTTTTATTTTATTTTATTTTTAAAATAAATTCTGTTGTAAATCCTTGGTCAGCCCTGTTTACTGTGGCTGTGTAACAATTTACCTCAAAATGTGAGGTACGAAGTGGCAACTCTGTTATTTTTTCTTTTTTTGAATTTTTGAGACAGGGTTTCTCCCTGTAGTCTTGGCTATCTTGGAACTAGCTTTGTAGACCAGGCTAGCCTTAAACTCAGGGATTCATCTGTCTTTGCTTCCTGAATGCTGAGATTAAAGGCAAGACAAATGTCATCGGGCTTCGAAATGACTGCTCTTATCTCATTCTTGTTTGGGTAAAGCAGGAGACCGTAAGAGGCATTTTTGTGAATCTTGATTGGCCTGAGCAAGGGGCGTTCTCCCTGCCTCTTGAAAGGGCAAAGCAAGAAGTGAGGAGTGGGAGATACTGTGGAAGCCATTTTTGGGAAACACACTTGACTTCTGAGGTAGCAAATCTCCTCTCCCATTCGGCAATTATTTTCACTCTTTTTGAGATAGAATCTCACTCTGTTGCCTAGGCTGTCCTCAAACTCCTGGGCTCAAACAGCCCTTCTACCTCAGCCTCCTGATGCGTAAAACGGTCCCAGCTCACTCTTTTAATAGTGTCTTAGAACTGGGGAGACAGTGGTGGTATTAGTTTAGCACAGCACCCTTACAAGTAAATCACTTTCCTTTCTGCTAATATCATTACTATTCATCCAAAGACTCAATATCTCAAAGACATTTACTACCTTTGTCACTGACAAATTCTTACTGTTTTCCTTTATATTTAAAACCCCAAGCACCTGTAATGGCGGTGAAGTAGAGAAGGGTCAAGCTGAAAGGAGTCTGTGGAGAGATCATTGTTTCTGCATTGCTCTCTACTTCTGCCTTGGCTGCAAACAGAGTCTGTTTGGAACAGACTGTTTTGGGGCTTTGTCTCGTTGCACAGTTTCGTACTGATCCTCTGTGGTTGAGCCTTTGCTTCATATCTGGAAGTATAAACCCTCCTAACTGACTTTTCCAAAGTGATTGCTATTCTCTACAAGGTACATCTCCATTCACAGTTCAGACTCATTTCTGACAGTTTCTAGACACTTTTGATATCCTGGGATGCTGATTTAAGTAATTAGTCTATCACCAATTTGGGAAAACTGACTTCCTTTCAACCCACACGTGTTGAATACTGCCCCATTTTAAGATGTATCTGTCAGTCACCTTTTGTACTTTTGTGTGTCAAGCTCTTGAACACTGTTAGGCTTATCTTCAGAGAGTTAATATTCTTGTGTCCCTGAACAGATAAACATACATGGACATTTCATTTTCTAATTATTTGCTGCTTTTATATGAAAATGTTTGCTGTTTTTAAAAGTGGTTTGTTTTCTTGTTAGTAATATTGGACATTTAGACATAAAATATGATTTATCAGAAATATGATTGTGAATGTTATCTACACTTTGTCTTGCTATTCTCTCAAGAGTTTCTGTCTTTTGGGGGAGCTGGAGAGATGGCTCAGTGGCTCATGGCACCTGCTGCTCTTGCAGAAGACCTGGGTTAAATTCCCAGCCTCCACATGTACCTTCTAACCACCTGTAACTCCAACTCCAGGAGATTTGCTCCATTTTCTGGCCTCCGTGGTACTGCATACCTGTGATGCACATGTATGCATACATACATATAATCAATCACTCATACACATAAAATGAAAGTAAATGACTCTTAAACTTTTGTTTGTTGTTGTTGTTTGTTGTTTTTTGAGACAGGATTTCTCTGTATTGCTTTGGAGGCTGTCCTGGAACCAGCTCTGTAGACCAGGCTGGCCTTAAACTCACAGAGATCTGCCTGCCTCTGCCTCTGTCCTGGGATTAAAGTTGTGCATGCCTGGCCCTTGTTTTTTTTTTTTCCCCTGAGTCTTAAACTTTTAAAGCCTTTGTTTTTATTTATGTATATGAATGTTTTGCCTCTGTGTATGTCTGTGTACCACTTACATGCAGTGCTAGAGGAGGCTGAGTGTCAGATCTGCCAGGACTGGAGTTACAGATGGTTGTGAGCTGCTGTGGGTTCTGAGAATTGAATCCGAGTCTTCTAGCAGAGCAACCTGTGTGCTCTTAACCACTGATCTATCTCTCCAATCCCAAAGATAAATAAATAATGTATTTTGTAAAGCAGCAGTTTTTGGCTTAGATGAAGTTCAATTAATTGATTTGTTATGTTCTGGACCATAATTTCATATAGGTTTCATCTCCTTGATCCAGACAGCAGCCTTAGACAGAAAGTTGAGATATTTATGGGCCTTACTTGATTTGCTACCCAACATGTAAAAGGCCTTGCATTTTAGTTGTTCACAGTAGAAAAGAAAATGTATTCTGGTCAAAGTGGAAATAATCTCATTTGGCTTTATTTGTATTGACACGTGTGCTAGTTATTGTTATATGTTCTGCCTTGTAGTGCCTGCTCAATTCTTCCATCCACATTCTCCTGGCTTGTCATTCTGCTCTGAATCTGTACAAGTTTCTCATTCAGTCATTCATCACTTAATGATGGGAGGGTGTTCCAAGCAGCATGCTGTCAAGTGATTTTGTCATTCAGGTGTCATGTCACATACTTACACAAACCTCACATCTAGGATCTAGGATCTAGGATCTAGGATATATACAAGGTAGTTTGTTTCTCTTCTGGTCGTGATACCAAAACAACAAGATTAAATCAAGCACAAGAAACTCATGCAAGAAATACAAAATTAAGTAGCTGTTGCTGGTTTACCATGGCCCATTCAGTTTCATGGTAAATGCTTTTACAGATTGTCTTAATAGGGTTTCTATGGCTGTGATGAAACACCTTGACCAAAGCAACTTGTGAAGGAAAGGGTTTATTCATCTTACACTTCCAGATCACAGTTCTTCACTAAAGGAAGTCAAGACAGAAACTCAAGCTGGGAAGGAACCTGGAAGTAGGAGCTGATGCAGAGGCCATGGAAGGGTGCTACTTACTGGCTTGCTCTCCATTGCTTGCTTAGCTTGCTTTCTTATAGAACCCAGGACCACCAGTCCAGGGATGGCACCACCCACAATGGGCTGGGCCTTTCCATCAATCCCTAATTAAGAAAATGATTTATAGCTGGATCTTATGGAAGCATTTTCTCGATTGAGGTCCCCACCTTTCAGATAACTCTAGTTTGTGTGTCAAGTTGACATAAGATTAGCCAGCAGACAGGTGTGGGGTGGCTAATCTTGATTGTCAACATGTCGTAGCTGGGAAGAAGGACCCTCAGTGGAAGAATTACCTCCATTAGATTGGTCTGTGGACATGTCTTTGGGAGCACTTTGTTTTAAACTAATGTAGGAGGACTGAGAACACTGGGTGGTACAATTCCTAGGTATATGGGACTGGGCTGTGTAAGAAAGGTAGCTGAACAAGCCGGCGAAGCAAGCTCATTCCTTTGTGTTTTCTGCTTCCAGTTCCTGCCTTCACTTCCTGGCTTGACTTCCTTGGACAGTGCAACCTGTAAAATGAAATAAACCTTGTCGGTGTTTGTCAGAGCAACAGAGACCAGAACTAAGACACGGAAGGAACACATTACAGTGATGAGAGGCTAACAGCCTTTTGTCATCACTGTTGAGCAGAACATACTTCACAGAACTGTGACTGTTATGCCTCTACATGTGTGGTTGTGTGGTAGGTTTCATTCCCTTGGGGGTGTATGGTCACTTTCTAATTTTGTCTGTATTAGCAATTGCTTTTGAATGTCCTAGTCTTTGACAATTAGCTTAAAAGGGAGGAAAATTAAGGAACTGAAGGAGGAAAAATGCCACCTTCATTTAAACATCCTGAGAGTCAATTCACCAAGGATGTGGGGTTTGCAACAGTGGAAGGGGGGCAAAGATGGCTGCCACCTCTCCATCTGCATCTCTGATCGGATAGAGTTTTCAGCAATCTGATCAAGCATTCTTCATATTTGTTCTCACATTGGCTCTGAGAACTGCCAGTACGTTGC